AAACCCAACGAGAGCATAAACAAATCAAACTTCTTGTACCACTGTCGAGAACTGTTTAAGTCCATAAAATGACTTTTTCAATTTACAGACCCTATCAAATTTGTTGTCGGGACATCTAACTGTTGAGCTCCAGATCATGAATTGTCATAGGCGCGAAGATATTGTCAAACTCAATACCCTTCCATCGTGCAAACGTTTCGCAACCAAACGAGCTTTGTAACGCTTATCATCTCGACTTTATAGACCCTTTTGAATCCAGCAATCTCCCAAGTATTGTTTTTAGATAGAGCTTCCATTTCCTTTTGCATGGCTCCTAACCACTTAGCACAGTGACTCGAAGCTAGGGCCTCCGCATACTCAAACGGCTCATCCGGTACAACAACAAAGCATACTCAAATTAGTTAGTAAAACTCATATTTGCATAATCTCAATCACCATACCTATTATAACGGTTGCGACATCCCACATGACAACTTCTCCAGGTAATCTTACGTCCTTTTTTAATTTACGCAGTAATCGAAATATAACTGTCGATAGTGGCCAACAAATTCCAATTTGTGGTTTCGAACAAAATACCCTTACCCCTCCTAACCCTCCATTAAACCTTCACTATATCTTATATGCTCCTAAACTTATTAAGAATTTAGTATTTGTTTGTTGTTTTACTTCTGACAATCATGTCTCTATTGAATTTGATTCGTTTGGGTTTTCTGTGAAGGATATTCAGACGGGGAAGTTATAATGCGATGTAACACGTACTGGGGATCTATACCTATTACCACATCCTCCACCAAGGTCAAGGTCAATCACTACAACAAAAACGGGTTTATAGGACACTATCAAATTCTAAGTGTTCTAATAGACCTCTTTATAGGACTTAGTTTATAGGACCAAAAGAATAAAGTGTCATATCTAAAGGTGTTGTAATAAGTTATAAGTTTATATGACGTTTTTTGATGTCGTAATAAGTTTTTTAGGAACACTTTTGATATAAAGTACCCCATTATCAACTTTATATGACACTATTTGAAAATTGTCCTATAAAAACAAGTGTCCTATAAAAAATGAGTTTATAGGACACTTTCTCAAAAGTGTCCCATAAAGCTGTTAATGTGACACTTTGTATTAAAAATGTCCTAAAAAACTTGTTAAGACACCCAAAAACGTCATATAAACTTATTACAACACTTTTAGATAGGACACTTAATATTTTGGTCTTATAAATTAAGTCTTATAAAGAGGTCTATTGTGACACTTAGAGATTGGGGGTGTCCTATAAACTCAATTTTGTTGTAGTGAATCCCACCACTTCTTCTGCTTTTGCTGCCATCTCCTCCAATTTATGGCACGCTCATCTAGGCCATCCCGACACATCTATCTTAGATTCTATTCATAGTGATAGGTTTACTGAATGTAATAAGACATCTACTTTATCGTCTTGTCAAGTTTGTGTTTTGGGCAAACGTACTAAATTGCTATTTTTTCATTCAACGTCTTCCACTTCTTTACCTTCTGATATTATTCATATTGATCTGTAGACATCTACCCCGAGCACCACGGGTCACAAGTATTATATACTCCTGTTAGACGATTACTCCAATTTTCTATCGACTTTTCCATTGGGTATGAAATCCCAAGTTTTCTCCACCTTTCATCTCTTCTGTAACTGTGTATACGCTCAATTTGTAGCGAAAATAAAATGCCTCCAATGTGATAATGGCACAGAATTCACCAATTCTTCCTTTCAAAATGTTTGTGACCAATCTAGAATGATTTTTCGTTTTTCTTGTCCCCACACTAACTCTCAAAACGGGAAGGCTGAACGCAAAATTCCAACCCCGCTATACTAGCCGACTAATCCCAAGGCGGCCACCTGCTTTGCAGATAGCCCGGAGTCACCGCATTTGAACATCCGTGGCCACAGGGGGGATTTTTATTCCTCCTTGGATTTGAACATGGGATCTCCTGCTACTTTTGACCTTTAAAGACAAGCTCAAACCAATCAGGCGCAACCCTTGTGGTTCATAGTTGATTTTTTACCAACTAGCTGAAATTATTAACATCTTTTATTTGGTCTTTTAAAAAAGGAAAAAAAATTACAAATTTTAGGCATTTAAGACTTATTTCTGTATAATGGATAACTAAACGTCAAAAAATCATTAAACAATATTATATTCAACTCAATATTAATTATATTATTAAAATATTTTATAATTTTAATATCCCACCATTTTTTTTAAAAACTTTATATAAAATAATAATAGTTTAATCTCGATTAAAAAAAATATTTCTCTCGATCTCACATCAAGTTTCAGAAAATTCTCTAAACTTGGAGTTTTCTCTTTTTAACTTTATTTTTTGAATTTTTCTGGTAAGCACTTACCCGGGTAAGCGTTGGTAAACAGCCCCTAAATGCATCTAAATTTAAATGTACTTTAAACAAACACATGTATTTTTAGACAGTTTTCAAACGGAATCATTAGTATCCTTTGACAGTCTGTCGAAGATTCATTTAATTAATATAAATGATTTATTTCGTTATACAAAAAATAAATGCTTTCAAATCTTAGACGAATTTTCGAAGGAATCTTTAAAGTCCGTCGAAATTCTGTCAAAAATACAGAATATCTGATTACTTAAGATAATATATTTTAAAAAGAATTACTTTCCAATCACTACAACAAAATTTGGTTAATAGGACACTCTCAATTTTTAAGCGTCATAATAGACCTTTTTATAGGACTTAATTTATATGACCAAAAAAATAAAGTGTCATATCTAAAGGTGTTGTAACAAGTTTATATGACGTTTTTTGATGTTGTAATAAGTTTTTATGACACTTTTAATATAAGGCGTCCTATTAACAATTTTATAGGAAACTATTTGAAAAATTGTCTTATAAAAACAAATGTCCTATAAAAAATTGAGTTTATAGGACAATTTTTATAAAGTTGTTAATGCGACACTTTGTATTAAAAAGGTTCTAAAAAAACTTGTTAAGACGCCTAAAAGCGTCATATAAACTTATTACAACACCTTTCGAAAAGGATGCTTTATATTTTGGTCTTATAAATTAAGTCCTATAAAGCGGTTTATTGGGACGCTTACAGATTGGGGGTGTCCTATAAACTCAATTTTGTTGTAGTGAATCTTTGACGAATTTTCGATGGAATATTTATCATTCCTAGAAATTTTGTGGAAAAGTAATCGAAACGTTTGTTTTTCGACCAAATTGTTATCATCGAGAGTGTTTATCGAAAATCCGTCGAAAATCCACATTTTCGATGGAATTTTCCGTCTAAAATGTTCGACTATTTTATAGATGTGATTTAGACGTTATCATCGTATATTTTTGGTTTAAATGAATTGCTAGTTTTATAATTTACATGTCAATTTCATATTATGGTGGATAAATCAATGAAAATATATAAATGCATATAAATTCAAACGTTATAATATTTTGAGTGGCAAAATGGATAATTACATCGAATGAGAAATTTATGAGTTCACAAAAATAAACAGTCTTATTGATTCTGATTTCAGACTTTATTACACAGCTCTTATCAATCTGATATGAATAAAACTTCAGAATCCAACAACTCCTAAAAACAAACAGCACCGAAGTCGATACTCACGTAACCCTGGTAAAGATCGTTGGTATACAGTAATATGAGTGTTCTGATATTCAAAAGACATAATGAACCATGGGTTACATTATAGTAAGTATCATTTTTGTATTAGAAGGATATTGTGATTAGGGTTGTAAACGAACCGAACGAACACGAAGAGAGGCTTGTGTATGTTCGTTCGTTTAGCTTAACCGAACGAACACGAACGGTAAACCAAGAAAATAATTGTGTTCGTGTTCGTTATTTTAGAAATCAGGTATGTTCGTGTTCGTTCATGTTCGTTCGTTAACATGCTAAACGAACGAACATAAACGAACAGATTAAACAAACACCAATACTTGTCATTCAATTAACTATTATACACCAATTATCCATAGTTTAAACATACACAAAACAATCAGTATTCATCAACCGTCATTCATATACCAATACTTAAAAAGGCTTTTTAAAATTTGAATTCAAACTAAATAAATAAAAGTTATATATTAAACAAACGAATATAAACGAACATAAATGAATATAAACGAACGTTCATGAACATAAACGAACTTCCCACCAAACGGTTTGCTGAACGTTCAGTTCGTTTACAGTCCTAATTGTGATGCGAATTTCCAAGCTCTTTTTACAGTCAAAACCCAATGGAATGAACTTGAACTTCAACGTTTAGATGACGATGATGTTTATTAGAAGTTTTCATGTACTTTTAAATAATTTACGAGTTCTGAAGGTTTAAAGGTTTTTTTAATTTGATTGGAGCATATTTTATTGACATATATTTATTTTGTATATATAATAAATTAAAAAGAAAAAGATTTGGGCCCAGATTATTGGTTACAGTAAACGGGTTGTTTACTAAATACTTATTTGGGTGGTGCTTACCAAATCACAGTACCTTTCCGGATGAATATGACAGAGACCAAGAATCTTACTCGATAAGAGCGAAGGCGGACTAAGAGTCTCACCCGGTAAATGATGACGACTCCTCTTACCACGATTAGTACTAATTGGGTAATTTGTTACATCCGTCATTTTGGTGGATTAAAATCTTATCCAACAAATAAGCGATAATATTGAATTTTACCAATAAACACTTACCGGGTAAGTGTTCGGGTAAACGGCCCCTTAAACTGGTTGTACCAAGTATATCAGTCCTCCTCTTTTGAAGCCATAACTACTTAATAGTCAAAACTGTGGATGCACGTTAGAATGGGATGCACCGGATCAATCCTCGTATCAAGCGCAATTCATAAGTGGGTTCAAGATTAAATGTCATCAACGGTCTAGATCCCTTCTTAAGCTTCTCACTTTAAACCTTCTTACACGATCCTTCGTCATAGAGAATAAAACCTCTATTTTAGAGAATCCCTTAGATGCTCTAATCGATAATTTCTTCCAAAAAAAGGGGGTCAAACCCAGCATTTAATTTAAGAAAAGAACATAATTATAATGAAGTACCACAATCCTTACTTTACTAGGCCTACAATTATACCCTCTACCCAGCCAGCCAAATAAGACACCATTCGACACATTTTGATACAACAAAGAGAAAAAGACCTCAAACAGTTGATAAAAATACGATTTCAAACTAATATTTGGAGTTGGGATCGTCGCTAATTAAGACGTAGCAGACTTCAACTTCTTTGGAGGCGGGTTTCCTCCAGACACGATCACGTAAGTATAGAAGCATAGCATCGCAACACTATCAACAAACGAGACTAGTTTTAAACAGAGGGTTGAAATGAGGAAAAAGAATCATACGTCTACGTTTTTCATGTCTCTTCCCTGTCCCACCAATCATTATTGTAAGACGGGGCTAATAATTTGAGAACCCACAAAATTACAAGAATCGTTAAAACTACTGCATCATGTGTTGTTCCATATGATTCGTTTTCATCTAAGAATAAGATTTTGAAGACTATTAACATAGATTTGTTTGACATTGTGAACTAAATACATATGAAACAAATATATGTTAATTACGGTTGGGTTCCAGTGAGAAGGAGAGTTAAGATGAGAAGCATGAGAAGGGATATGTACCCTTGGATGCACATTAGGATGACATGCACCGAGATGCACCAGATCAATCCCCATATCAAGCATGACTCATGGGTGGGTTTGAGATTAAAGGTGATCAAAGTCTAGATCCCTTCTTACGCTTCTCACCTTAACTCTTCTTCTCACGCGATCCTTCGCATGTTAATCAATACCTTAAATTATAGTCTTAGATGGAAAAAGTTTATGTTAAACGATACCTTAAGGAAAAAAATTCAAAGTTCTCAAAATATATGGGGTTGTCATTAAATTATGTCCCCGATGTAAGACACACATTTATTCATTTAATTATATATATATATATATATATATATATATAAATTATTATTATTCTTCGGGGCCGTTTACCAAGCGCTTACCCGGCTAAGCGCTTACCCGGCTAAGCGCTTACCAAGTAACATTACATCACCGTATGAATATGGTAAAGACCAAGAATCTTACCCGGTAAGAGCGAGACAAGGACCAAGAGTCTTACCCGGTAAGTGTAGGCAACGACTCTTCCCATGGTAAGCGCTTATCGGGTAAATTGTTGCATACGATATCGTTTTGGTGGACTAAAATCTTACCCGGTAAGTAAATAATAGTGTTAAATTTTACCGGTAAACACTTACCGGGATTGGTAAACGGCCCCTTAATGATGCGTCTTACAATGATTAGTGTGACAGGAATGGGACATAACGGATGATTGTTTTACTCTTCGTATGAACTAAGAGTTCTTTATGCATGAACAGATAGTTCCGTACCTCATGGCAGCATTGAATCCCGTTGGTACTATTTTCTTTGTCTGCATAGCAAAAAACAATTGCAATTAGAGGAGACTCGTCGGCTCATAAGGTATATTGTGCTTGCTTCGGCTTTATCATTCTATTTCTAATTCGCCAGTTTACAAGTCATGTAACATGTCTCCTCCCTCTCTACCAATCATTTCAGGAAACATCATAAAATATTATTCAACATGGATATCCTCACGACATTCATCATGAATACTAATCATGATATTCATCATGAATACTAATCATGATATTCAGCATGAATACTACATGAAATAGGTGGTTTCCACATTCCCAACATATTTATTGTTATCATTTCAACCTGCCCCTATATATATGTATATATAAAAGGATATAAGGTTGGGTTCCAGTAGAAAATTAAAAAATTTGTAAGAAACGTAAGTACTTTGTTAGCAGACGTTTACATTTAAGTTAAAATGTTAACGTAAATTAACATATGTTAACATTTCATGGTATGTGTTAATGTATGTCAATTCATTTTAACTTATGCAAGCATATTCATGATAGCATCCGTTTAACATTTTCCTATAACATTCTTACCAGATCTTGATTTCCTATATGCAATCCTAATTCATATATATAGAGGACAAATCATATACAAACCGCCTAAATGTTACACACTGTACAAACCAATCTTGGCCCTTGATTGTGTATTTTGAAATTTTTAGGTGGTTACCAAGGTTGAGAGTGAATTTTGGAACCAATTTGATCCGCATCCTTGCTATTGATTTGATAATTTCCATGGACCGTTGAGATTGGTTTGTAAGATTTAGGCGGTTTGTATTTGAAGTCCCTCCCTCCCTCCCTCCCTCTCTCTCTCTATACATATAGGTAAACTTATTTAACATTTCCATCATAGCATCTGTTAACATTTTTCTATAACATTCCTACCAAAATTTTGATTTCCTATGCGATCCTAATTCACACACACACAGATATATATATATATATATATATATAATATATATATATAAATAATATATATATATATATATTGTGAATAAATGATGTGTGTTACAATGATTGGTGGGACCGGAAGGCGACAAGTATAATAGGGATAAGTGAATTTTTCGTACTTACCACTGAGTAGGTCTGAATTGTCTTCCAAAGGAGGGCAGCAGCGATTCCTGCAAAGACAGAAGCAGAACATGTAAAACAATGAAGGTTGCAGCTTTTGGTCGTGAATAGATGAACAGAAATACAGATTACGATAGACTTGGAAAAGGGAATACATGATATAGTTCATTTGATAGAAATTCTTTCATAATGAACATTACACGAGTAAACCTGGTCAATTTTGAAGTATCACAGAGGTGTTCACTGCATTCAACAACTCATCAAGAATAAAATCACGCACATTACACTTTAGGTAGACATATGTAAAGTAGCACGTCTTCATGTCGGAGGCATATGTAAGTTAGTTAAACTTGAGAAGCATTTAATTCATTCAAAATAATATGAATGTATGCAAGGGTGGGTTCAAATGAGAACTGTAAATATTTTTGAGGATCAGGAACCAACTGTGTCATGTATTATTCAAGATGAATAACCATGAATAATGAAAATTATTCATTATAAATGTTATGTAGATATTCACTACGAAAATTATTCATAATGAAAATACATGATAAAAGATGCCTGAAATCATGAATACTACAAATGCACGATATTCAGAATTATTCAGGGTTATTCATCACGAATAACTCATAAATAGTTGGTTTCCCAGTTCACAAAATATTTACGGTTCTCATTTGAATCTGCCCCTACATGTATATACACACACACACACACAAAAGCCCTCCACCTCTCATATTCCTATAGAATTCCACACCGTAATGCTCTTCACAGATGGAATAAATGGATTAGGTGTAAAAACTAGCCCTTTTCATATACATTGTTCTAAATTTGCCCCTCTATGTCTATGCAATGTCAGAAATTCTCCTTTTTAGATAAAAATCATCAAAAGCCACATACTTGATAATTATGATTGAGTGGTGTCACTCAATTATAATTTTGAAGCACAATCATCAAAGGATAGTTCTGAAATCGATCACCAAGAAACCAGATGAATAACATAGAATATAGAGAAACCTACTGATATATTTGGGTTTACATTTATCCCTACCTGCTTGTCCAAGTATGAAAGGTATGCTAGAATGCCCTTGACTCCAGACCTTTAAGCTGAAAATGCTAAGGGCCAGCAATGCACCTCCATAAAGTCCACCAGATATCAAAGTAGCAGGGTTCCTCGAGAATAAAAAGCCAATAAGTCCCCCGCTAAATACAATCCCACCTGCAAGAAGAATACACATACATTAGAACATAGGCAAGTTGGATTTGGAAAACTAGCCCTTTAATTCCATCCAGTGTATCTCACACACAGAGATAGGGTCTGGGGGGTAGAAAGTATGCAGACGTTACCTCTACCCCAGTTTTGCAAAATAAGCAAACAAGAAACAAGTGTGATTAATAGCAACAAAGCGTGTGCAAACAAACTATAGATACAATGTGTTGAAACAAACTATTAAAGCACGAAGAACCCTACATATGCCACACTGTAAAAGCAAGAGCACCTAAGGCAATGGATAAAGTTCCTAAAGTTGAGAGATCTTTAAAGTTCTAAAAGTTGACAGATCATCCATCTTATTGTGCATAGCGTTCTATATATGGAAATTGGAACTTGCCCATGTAAAAGGAGAGTTCGGATGTAGGCAAGTTTTTTTATCCAATATCTCACAATTAACTACTTGTATAACTTGACTTGTAGGCGCAAAAATAGAATTACTTTTCGAAAACGTAAAGCATGCTTAAGTGATAGCGAAAAATCGTATAGGTCCACAACAATGTTACCACAATGGCAGTGCAAGTGCACACTGGACACTATGGGCTCTCAAGTAATAAAGTGGTAATGTACCAAGATCTTTTTTGAAGGGATTGGAACAAGTAAGAATCAAAGATCTTAATGAACTTCTTGTGCAAGCTTTGGTTCTATGCCTGCCAAGGCCCAACGCCTGTGTCCACATTCCCTTGCTTTCCCACTGATTTATGTCCTCTGCAAGTCCGACCTTGGATCCCTCCTCTGCAGCCTCATCCTTCGAGCAGCAGAAAGGTGCCCATGACCGCCACAATAGCCATTTGAGCAAAGAGTAACCGTCATTGGTGTGTTATCATCGTCATTATGAACAACTTCTATTTCCTTTCATTTCAATGTCTTTTGAGGGTACTTGTGATGCTTGTTTTAGCGTTCTCAACCTTTTGATGACTCTATGTTATGCATGTCGAATTGCGGTGCCGGTAACTAGTATGCATTATTATACTTTGACTTTCCTCTCTTGTTGTTTGGGTGTTTGCTATTTGTAAATCTCTCTAGCTAACTCTTCAGCTAGGTGTAACGACCTTGGCAGCTTCCTATAGATGTTGTATTTAAGAGGACGTAGGCCTTTATTTTCCTGCCCTACACACTTTTCCCTCATGCCTCACCCTTGCCTTTCATCTTCTCCTCCCATACAGCCATTGTGCAACTTAAGTTTTTTTTTTTTTTTTTTTTTGGGGGGGGGGGGTTGCCTACAAACTTGTCAAACAACTGCAATCTCATTAATTGCAATGTAATCAAGAGTGCGTTGATTTAATGCAATTTGCAGTAACAGATTCGCAGCCACTGTCACTAGATTCTCATAGGCATTCTACAAATACAGGTAAACGTGGAAACTTTTATGTAGATGTATGCATGCCACACAGTCAAGGGATAGCTTTGGAGGAGAATGATATAGGGATTCATAGCTTCCTTTTCAATTTATTATCTTTTCTTACTTGCTCATAGGCATTCAATGAAGTTGAGGCGAACTGACCAAATAAAGAGTGCCCCTACTCGCTACAAAATCATCCTTGTCATGCCTCATCCTACAAGTGGACCGCTAGGCTGAAGCTTCACAACATGTTGATGAAGACTCTAACTAACTTCTTTGGCAACTCCATGTCTACTCATCATATCCCTGGAAAGAGAGAATTTCTTCCATGAACTAGATATCATGTCCCCTTTAAGTTAGCAGCTATTTCATCTTTCAGATGACCCCTTATGGCTTAAAGACATCCCACAATCCACTTCCCATACTCCACAAACCCTTGCCAAAAAGAGAGTTAAATTAAGAAAAATAGGATCACTCCTAAGAAGATAAGAAGTGGAGCAAGTAGTCTATGTATGTTTGTCATTGTTTGACAAGGTTCGGTTCAGCAGGAGAAGAACAAACATACCAGATATAAAAAATTTGGGTTCGAAAACCACAACATAATTGTCGGTCTATTAGATAAAAATTTGTGGAATGTTTGATTGCAAAGAAGAAAATGAAAGAGAGAACTCACCTCTGTGAAGTTTGTTTCGAATAAGAAAGCCCCCACCTCAATCTATAGCGTGCGTCTGGGAAAAAAAGTGATACGTGGCATGAACGATTAGGAAAGAGGGAAGTGGCGATAAAAAGAATGTTGTTAGAGCAGCCAGCGTCGAACCAGGCAGAAAAAAGGAACTATGCTGGGAAGAAGAGAAATACGTGGGGAATGAAACTTCATTTCCCCCATTTTTGTTGGGCAATGCTTCATTACCTGGTATCGAGTATTTGGCCTATCACCTAGTAGCTAGCTGCCTATTTGCTCTCTGAGTTGAGAGGGATGGGGGATGGTGGAATTCAAATCTTTAGAGGAGCTACATTTGGGCTCCGGTAGCACAGTCATGTTTTAAGATCCTCTTTTCTTCTTAAAACTATAGATTATGGGGCTTTAGATCATATGGCCAAGAGTACAAATACTATGCCATGGTTGTCTCGATCTACCTATCTCCATGTTAGACTAGTCAACAGTTTACAAGTTTGAGCACTAGTTTAGTATATTTCCCTAGACTTGGCATTTTAAATGTTCTTTACATGCATACCTTTTATATTGTAACTTCTCTGATATTTCTGATCTGCATCTTTCTTTCTTGATCATTTTGTCTTTCAAGAGCTTGGAACTTGATGCATCGGCACATGCATTGAATAGTTTGTCTCTATCTGTAGTTAGTCAGCCACCTGGAGGAGCTATTATGGATGCTTTGAATTGTGAATATTGCCAAAATCAGTAAGCACATTTGTGCATCTTCCACTACATCTAATTCTAGTTTTCCTTTGGGTATTGCTCATATGACATTTGAGATTCCTTGTCTGTAGCTGTAAGTACTTTGTTGATAACTACTCTCATGTTACTTGGTTTGATCTACTCACAACAAAATATTACTGATGAACAAAAATTATACATTTATTGATAGTCACGTGCACTCCACGTTGTTGTACATTCCACATTGTTTATAAGGGGACATTTTAACTATCTGTTATCTTATCAACCACCTCCCCTCGACCACTGTAAAGTACCAAATTCCATACCACATTATTATCTATGATATACCCTATTCACTGTTTGTTCTGAAGTTTTTGCTTAACATTTGTTATGTGCAATTTCAGACCCAATACCATTAAACATGGACCATAGGCAACGGGATGCAATTTAAGAGGATATTCTAGATCCAAAATGGCTTTCAATAGTATGACTCGTCACCATAAAGATACTACCATCTGCACCTTTCTGTTTTAATTTCCTAGTCACCTTACAAAGAAAGATGTGTCCAATCTCGCATACCTTGATACACACAATTAGTTTCTAATAGTGCTTCTCACTGCTATATCTATTGCCATTATGGTCATGTTCGAGAAGCATTGCTCATTTGCCTAGTATGCCTCCAAGAAATTCTTCTAAGGGGCCGTTTACCAACCGCTTACCAGCTGAGCGCTTACCGGATGTCACTTACCCTTACCAGATGAGCATCGCAAGGACAGAGAATCATACCCGGTAGGGAGGGAAAAGACTCTTATTTGGTAAGCGCTTACTAGGTAAAAGACGCTTACCGAAAATCCATTTTGGTGGCGAGAATGTCACCTGATAAGGTAAGTGAGGGGGCGACTCTTGCTAGTAAGCGTTTGGTAAATACCCTCTAAATCTCCTCTTATTCATATTGTCATGTGAAAAAAAAATTACACGTGTATGTATAAAGCCCATTGATCGATTAGGCTACTCTATATCTAATCATGTTTCTTATGTTACCCGATAAGGTAAGTGAGGGGGTGACTCTTGCTGGTAAGCGTTTGGTAAATGGCCCATAAATCTCCTCATATTCATATTGTCACGTGAAAAAAAAATTACATGTGTATCGATAAAGCCCATTGATCGATTAGGCTACTCTATATCTAATCATGTTTCTTATGCTCGCATCTCTTAATATCCCATGCCTATCTAAACTTTAGACGGTTATCATGATCCTGGAAAAATGTATATAAGAGGCTCAAGCACACCGAATAAAAGAAAACAGTGCATAATGGGCTGTTTACTAACCTCTTATACCTCTTACTGAATAAGAGGTTTTTATACGGTAAGAGGTAACAGTGTTTACCAAAATAAGAAAAAAGACCTGTTGCTAACCGAACACTCTTGTTGCTGACTGGACTACTGATTCTAATCAGAGATACATATCATTCTGACTCTAAACAGCGATGGATTTCTTTTATTTTCCTCCTTTACCCCTTGTCAACTGGTATTTATCCACTCACCACCAATGTTTCCTCCTTTTGATGTATCCTCTACTATGATGGTCTGACTCATACCTCCCATTAGCCCTTCCCCTAACCATCTCACTTCTCATACATTCTCTCTCCACCTTATTAAAATTATTTCATTGACATTAGTTGGCTCGCATAGCGGGTTGGATATCCAGGTTAATCAAAAAAAAAATACACAACATACAAGTTTTTTTTACCAAGTATGGAATTTTTTTCCAAAATCCAATAAAAAGAAGATTTAAAGACTTTAAAGCTACATTTAAAAAAACTTTTTAATTTTACACTTCATATTCAATATTTCAACAAAAAAATATGATCGATTTGATTATGGGCTGAAGATAATTGAGGTTTTATATACTTATGATTCTGATTTTGAATTTTAAGGTCTATTGATATTTTCTTTAGTTAATTGTATGTTCTTTTAAATATACTTTGGTGTTTTCGATTTTGGAGAAGCAAAAAAAGAGAATAAATACCAATTTAAAAAATAGAAGGATATAATAGTCATTTTACACAATCAACAATCAATACAAAATATGATGCCAACAACAATTTTTTATCAGCACTTATCATAGTCAGTCCTCCTATCTTAGTCAGACCTCTTACCATGATCAGCTCTTACCCAATTTTTTGGTCAACATACCCGAAGGGAATGACTAACCTATAGAAGAATGTGACCTGGGGATCTAAGAATGTGGCTAACCTATTGAGACAAGTATGCATGATAGTAGTGTTACTACCAACTCCCAACATTAAACTTTACATGATAATTAAGAGCTCCTAGAGGATACAAAATTCAAAACCAAATTTTCCATAAGTATATAAAGCAAACTTTGGTTGACAGCAATTCTGTTTATGAAAAGGTTGTTGGAACCTCTTGCGAGCCACTAACTAATAAGCCAGTTTGGGCTTCCTGGAAGAATAAGGGCTATTTACAACATCTCATGTATGACAAGTTCCGCATGATTGACATATATGCTCCAACGTGTGGGGTTTAAATATAAGGGCTATTTGCAACCCATCATGTAATAATTTAATCACAACTATTTGTAAGTTCTATATCTGCTCATGAGCTACTATTATACTCTACTTATACTTGGATAGCTCTGTTGAATAATATCCACTTCACGAAAAAATATTATTATATTTATAAATCCTTTAAAGGAATGTATACACTGCGCTCAATAGCCGTTATTTTCATCCACAAAAACAAGATCAACCACTGGGTAAGGCGACTGATTTCTTTTGTTTGGACAGAATTGATTCTATATTACATCAACATCTGAGTAACTTCAAAGGAATGTATACACTGCGCTCTATAGCAGTTATTTTCATCCATAAAAACAAGATCAACCACTGGGTAAGGCGTCTGATTTCTTTTGTTTGGACAGATTTGATTCAATATTACATCAACATCTGAGTAACTTTGTAGTTCACATAGTGGAATGTGTGGTCCATCACATTATCTAACCCCAAAAAGATGTGATCTACCATCTCGTATCGTAACAAAGGGAATAACAATTTAATCCTTGCTCAAAAATGGCTGAAGATTCAAAGGCAAGATTAGCAACTCAAGCAAGCAGCAGCACGGGGACACCAATTCCACATTTTAAATCTTCGATGTTAGTTGATTCAAATCAAGGTATTCAATCGTACTTGGGTCAAGTTCTGTGTATTTAATAGAAGAGAAGGGTGGTTCCCAATGTCTCAAATTTTTATGCCAGGTAGACTCACATAGTGCTCAATAAATGAAGAGGAATATAGATGTCAGCACTAAATAAGTTATTGACATATGTTGCAGCATAAGAACGATTGCACACTAAAGAAGAGACATTAGCCAGATGTCGACTAAGCAAGCACTTTAAACTTAAAGCTTTGTATGAAAGGGTGTGCAAAAGCTTGACAAATTTATCAACACCAAATGGAACTTACCATACGGAATTCCAAAACAAAAATCATGAATCTTTGCTGCTTTTTTCGGTTCGCTGACTTGTACTGGTTCGTCTACCTCTTCCCCATTGACATATTCTTCTATATTTGAATAGGGTTTTTCAAGTATATCATTATCTGATTTTGATGCACTTGCTCTATATTTTACAGCTGACTTGCTACCTGAACTGAATGCTTTTATGGCATGTTGATCACTGTTCATAACCGTTAGCAACTGCAAAGAAGTAACGTTTGCAAGGTGACCAGTTAATATCGTTTCGTTCCCAAGGACAAGAGATAATAGTACATCTGAATCTCTCTAAGGAAGAAATGCCAGATAATCTTCAAAAACAGTAATTATAAAATTGAAACAAAAAATAGCCACAACTTCTGCGAGAAGCAAAAACTTTATGTTCCAATATTACACATCTATATTTACAATCATGGCATCCTAGACGTGTAAACCACTAAATCGGATCCTATGATAACAAAACAAAAACTCAATTGTATAGGCCTAAATCTAGGGATAACCCTAAGATAAGTAACTAATCTTACAAAGCCAACTAATTATACATGATCTTCCTCACTCCCCCTTAAGCTGATGATAAGTATTGTCCATATCCAGCTTGGATACAATATTCAAGAAAGAGTGACCCAGTCAACCTTTTGGTAAGAAAAATATAAGTAATTGCAAAATGTAGATGCTTGCGGTTAGCGAATTCACAAACCTCACTGAAAATTTCCACATCCAAAACCGTAAAAAAAGGAAATTTTTATAACCCTATATGATAGGTAATCCAAGTCGGTAATGCTTAAGTAAACCATACTATTTATTGGATAAGACAGATTCTGAAAGAAAGGATGAGAATAATCTACTTAATCATGTTCTTATGACTTGGTGTTCAAGAAACTAGAGGTCATTCCTGTCTTTAGCATGTTTGCTCATTCTATGTGAATCCTTGTCCTGGAATATACAACACCCATCATAAAGAACACATTACAACATGAATCTTGAGTGAGTTTTTGTATAGAGACTAAAATTATGGAAAATCTGAAAACATTCAGGAAACTTTCAAAATAACCAATGGGCTCATTTTGAATGACCTAGAGGATCCGTGGTGGTAGCTATTTTCCTATTAATTGAATATGAAGTGTAGGTTGAAAAGATATTGGATGTATGGGCCATATTATTTAATTGTTCGTGAATCCAAGATTCAAAAATCGATAAAGGTTTTAGCTTTTAATACAATATAAAAATGAAAAATGATCTGAACATGTGAAAAAACAAGTACCTTGAGGTCTATAAGGTATGTTGAGAGTGTAGATAAGTGACCTCACTAGAGATCAAATGGGACTGGGACTGGGACCAAGGACCGGCCCAATTAGGACCGGTCACACAAAGGACAGTACTTGCGCCCGGTCCAGGCCTAAAAGCCTCATCAGGCCTATGAAGGGCTGTGGATTTCAAGAACTTGATATTTCTTGCATAATAAGCAAACATAACCAAAACTCGAATTGCTAACTTTTGAACAAGTAAGATGATTCATACCTTGTGCATAAAAAGTTCAATGCAACTATAGGTTTGGGCAAACAGAAGCCATGTATAGTGTATAACGAGCAAGCAAAGTCACAAACTTCATTTGTAACTTACAAATTTAGTGGAGATACTTAAGTTTGCTTCGTATGCACTTCCAATATCCTAGAAAATAACTAAATTTAGCAATTTTTGCATCAAATGGACTAATTTGCAGGTTCAGAATTTGAACCTGTTATGTTTTTAGGGTAAATTTGGTAACTATAAAATTGTCTTAACAGACTATAAAAAAAAAGACCCACCTTACAGTTACACTTTAACAATATCCAATTTTGAATGTAAAGGTCTTAGGCTTTACCTTAAAAATCAAAGCATATAATAATGGATGGATTACCATTAATGCTACTATCACTACATTATAAGTGAAAGTATTGATAGTTGAAATTTAGAAGAGCCTTTTGGCTATGAATATTACAATTTGCCCATTCTAAGCAATAAAAGAATAAGATGTAATTCTTTTAAGCAAGGATACCATGCAACTAATCATATTCATTTAAAAAAATACTAGTCTCAAACGTACCTATCATGGATCTTGAATAATCCAACAAGAGTTGAGCAAAAGTTAAATCATAAGAGATGGATATCATATTAGCCATGAAGAACAAAAATAATTTGAGATGCAAAATATTACAAAAATGAAATACATCATAAAGGGGTATTTTTATGGGGTTGTAAACATACTTTTGAGGGTATATCAGTAAAATCATTTAATTTTAGTGCAGAGATTTTGGAAAGCAGCAATTGCAATGGAACATCCCAAAAGGAAACTTTAGGAAACATCATGGAGCAGAACTCTTAACCTGCAAGATCCTTACATTTTTCAAACCTAAAATTCTAAACCTTTTCATTTCAAGCAATCCATCCTATTAGACTGTAGTGGGGGAAGACCTCAAACCTCCAAGGCTCCTTGGCTTTTGCAATATTTGTGCCCTTCCAATTTCGAAAGAGGCTCCTTCATCATTCGAAAATATTCAAAAACGACTAATGTTGCTGGTTGCTCCGAGGAAGACCTAGAGGACTGCACAACTTCAATACTAATATCCCCGTTCCACTTGGATTCTAACTAGTAAAAGTGGACATTGATGATGTGCCAACAGCCAAATTGCCAATTGAGGCAATAACTATGTTCCACAACCTCGTAAGAAGTAATAGAGGAAGAGCCACTTGGAAATTGGAGCCCTAACAACTTGTGTTTCCAGCATGGGAAATTCACCAGCCATCAATAGATCATCATAAAAATAATCATTTACATAGACATGCGAATACGTAAAGTCAGACATCTTATCAAATCTGATATACAATCGCACATAACCGTATATATATATATATATATATATATATATACATATATAGAAACCTGGGAACGAAGAAGGTGGGGGCGTGATCGATTGAGGAGATGAAATCTGTTCTGGATCGTAGAAAAGCATGACAATTGAGATACAGCTGATGACATTTTAGGGTGAATTTGTCACAGATGCTTGTGAAATCTTGAAATTTCAAAATATTTGATAGGAAGATTTTGGTTTCTGAATTCTTCCTTCCGCTGGACAACGTTGAACAGAGGAGTTGAAAAGTTCCAGAAGATTCTGAAGACAGCAGCATATCTTGACTATTATTGGCCCTCATCAACAAATATTTATTTTTTTCAATAATAACTTTTTTATTGATTTATAAATCAACTTTTAACATCTTTATTTTTTAACTTGGAACAAACTTTATCCGGTTCAAAAAGGCGTGATTGTGTCGTGACGATGAAATCACACTACAATAAAATCGGGTTTATAGGACACCCTTAACTTTTAAATATCCTAATAGACCTTTTTATAAGACTTAGTTTACGAGACCAAAAAAATAAAGTGTCATATCTAAAGGTGTTGTAATAAGTTTATATGACGTTTTTTGACGTCGTAATAAGTTTTTTAGGACACTTTTAATATAAAGCGTCTCATTATCAACTTTATAGGACATTATTAGAAAAATTGTCCTATAAAAACAAATGTCCTATAAAAATTTGAGTTTATATGACACTTTTAATGCGACACTTTGTATTAAAAATGTTCTAAAAAACTTGTTAAGACGCCCAAAAGCGTCATATAAACTTATTACAACACCTTTAGATAAGACGCTTTATATTTTGGTCCTATAAATTAAGTTCTATAAAACGGTCTATTGAGACGCTTAAAGGTTAGGGTTGTCCTATAAACCCAGTTTTGTTGTAGTGTCAAGTCTCAAGCCTTATACGTTACGACGTGGATACGGTGTTTTTCAAGACGTGACATAAAGACGGTAAATTTATATGTATGATAACTGGGTTCTGTTTATATAATTCAGGATGGTTTGAAAGGTTTTGATAAGTAAGATATCTTAAAATATTGTGTTATATGATTACCTGTTTATTTATCTTCCACCGTCTTAAATATTTGGTGTATAAGATATTTCTTATATCTCATCGATGAGTGTGAAAATATGGGTTTTAAAATGGTTAATCTCCACCGCCTATGTTTGACATATAAAAGTGAAAAGATAAGATTTATTGTCTTACATATTCTGTTTTGGAGAGAAAAAGAAAATAGAGAGAAAATTGTTGTGTGTGTAATCTTGTGTGAAAGACTGTGTGAAACTGTTGGAATTGATTGTGTGACCATATTTGGAATATGTTGTTGCAAGATTCATCCTTGTATACATATAAGGTGAGTTTTGTTATTAAATTTTGTACGAATTTTTGAAATACTTGAACTGATTGATGTTTATGTGGAAGTAAGGTAAGCTGGTTTTTGAAACTGTTTTGAGTTGAGAAAGGTAAACTGTTCTTGAAAACTATATTGAGTTGAAATTGAACTGGGTTTAGAACAGTAGAAGTTCTTGAAATAAAGTTTTTTGTAATGAAACTGTTTTGATATCATTATTGGCAAAAAAAAAATGTCAGTTTTGGTTAAATTTTTACGAGGGAATAAATGTGATATATCAATTAGATGTGTACCATGGGATAAATATGACATATCAAGGAGAGATATACATTTGGATAAGAGTAACAATTGTGAAATTTGAGTTTTGATCATACATTTTGTTATTACATCTATAAGATATAATAATCGTGAGTTATCACTTCTGTGTGATGTGAGGATTTGAAATTATTGCTCTTATTGATATGATAACAATGTTGTTATGTAGAGAATGGTTTATAACCAGATAGGCTTTGATGCCCTGTGTTTTGAGTTGATAGTATTTTTGAGTTAATCCGAGTGTTATACTTTTGATTTATTTCAATGAAGTAAAGTTTTGATGAGGAACCAGATGGGCGCTAGTTAGTCTTCAAGGCTAACCAGAAGGCATCTGGTTGTGGTTGAAAAATCTCTTTAAGTTCTTCAAAACTCATTTTGACCCGGAGGCTTTTTATGTGCTATATAGAGGTTGTGTATCATGAAATTTAACAAGTACGAGTTCTGTATCTGTGCTTTGTATCTTAACTCTTGATTTCTTGTACAACTTCATAAGTTAAACCTTTTTAACTTGATCTTTTACAACTATAATAGAGAACCAAATAGGCTTTGGTTAACTTCATATTTTTCCAGATGGCCTCTAGTTGTGTTAAAATCTCATTTTGTATTCTTATATCTCTTCATATTTTCCATAAGTTTTAGTTTAGACGGACCAGAGGTTCTAGTCATTAAAAGGGTCTCTGGTTGGTCATGCATCCTTAGTTATTTTTGAAAGTTGGAGACCAGAATCTCTAGTGGTATGACCAGAGGCTATGGTCAACTAGAGAAGCTTTGGTTGGTTTGAATCGGGATTTCTTTCCTCAAGTTAAATGACCAGAGGAACTCTGGTGGAGTAAGTTATGTGTTTTAATTGTTTCAAGTTGATCCAGACTTCAAGATTTAAGCCTTTATTGACTTTGCATTATTTTAGTATTGCTCTTGCTTGAGAGCCAGAGGAGCTCTGGTCCTTAAGAGCCAGAGAAACTCTGATCCTTAAGAGCAGATGAGCTCTGGGTAATCCCGCATAGAGTGATGCGAGGACCTGAGTGGTTATACGCCATGTGTGGCGAGGAAAATTTATGAACTCTTAAAGAATTATGATATTTGAGTTTTGTCTTATAAAAAGTTGATATATATATATATATATATATGTATATTTACAAAGGTGATTTTAAAGCAGGTTTGATGAATTTTCACCCTGTAATTGTATGAAATGGGATTTTTCACTAGACCTCAAGATCTAACCCTCATGTTGTGTTTCAAAAATGTGCAATGCATGTCAGACTTTACCAAAAGATAAGGGGATGTGAAATTTTCCTTTTATGCTTACATAATTATGAAGATCAACATGTTATTTGTTGGATTTTTTTGGAATAGTTGTTATAGATGCAAGTCATGTACAAGAATGTTACGGAAAATTTTGGTTGTCAATTATGTAATATAATTTCTTATACTGTTGGGACCGATTGTGTATTATTTATATTTCTTGATATATGAAATACATGGTTAAATGCAAATGTGGATCTTGAGGTGTTACAATATGTCATATATAGTATTATATATATAGATATATCTTTTCAAATATATTATCGGTGTTCTTTCCGATCTTTACGCATTTCACCTTTTTTTATGTCAAAGACCAGAAGCTACGCGAAGATATTCATTCATGATATTAAAAAAATGTACATTCATATTAGAAGAAGAAAAATCATATGGATTATTATTATTAAAATAAGTTTTTGAGTAAATATTTAAAATATAATTTAGAAAAATGATAGTTTTGCAACTTCATTTTAACCATAAGTTTGTGAATTTGTGAAACTATGACTAATGTGATTGGTTAGATCTATAAAAATGTAAAATCTAAAGTTAAAAATGTAAAATCACAAAAAACAAAAAACAAATTTTTTTAAAAAAAAACCACGTGCTACAAAAAATGCATGTCATGGCGTGCCTCAAAATGCCATGGCGTGGGCCACGCGTATAGAAACACTATGGGTCAATTTGTAACGGTGGAGACGCATCTTGCACCGTATCGTGTCATGGCGCACGCGCCTTTTTGAACACTGTCTATACTATATTATACAAGGGTGGAACACAACCGTTGTAGTCCGGAGGCCCGAAATATAAAAGCATCTTCAATAGATTTTTTAAAATTGAGAAAATGGAGATTTTATGCATATTTTTGCTTCAACAGGCTTTCCAAAATTCTCCAAAACGGAGAAAACATGAAAGAGTGTAAACAAAAATTGATTACAGTGAGAGAGAATCATTTTTTTTCCATCATATGCACACCGTTAAGAATCCTTGATATTAATGGTTTATAGGTCACTGACATATCATTTTTTGTCTTTATTTGACCCCAATAATGGATTGGATCGAAATGACTTTCCTACAAATGGGAGATTGGCTGGGGCGGGGAGCTCGAGCCTGGTTTTAATAGAGTTTTAATTATCCATTTTGGAAATTTTTTGAAGAATATGTTGAAGATGCTATAATATTGTAAAATTTTGTAAATCAAAATGATTTGTTTTTTGACTATTAAATTTTAAGAAAAAGATTGATTAATGTAATATTAAAACTCGAAACATTCAAAGTATTAACATGAAAATAGTAATACCAATTTAAACATTATTTACATATAATTAATATATTATATTATTTACTCTAAAAACTTAAACATTCAAAGTATTAACCGAGAAATAGTAATACCGGTGTAATTTACTTTAAAAACTTATATTTACATATAATTAATATATTATATAAAAACTAATACATATAATTAAATATTAATAACTTATATAAAAGTGCAAAAAAATTGCTTGAGAAGGGATTTGAAACAGCAACCTCTAGCATGTAGGTTGTATATCATTGCTGACTAAGCTACTTAATATATATGCTTTTGATAGCTTAGTTATAATATTTAACTAAAAAGGGGGAGGGGGAGGGGGAATGGCCCCCAAAGGCCCTTATGGGGTTCCGCCCATGATATTATAAATCATTTGATAAAAACCTTTAAAAACCATTTTTTTATGTACGAAGTACTGTTTAATGATGCATAAACATCTTATTTTTAAATAAAAAAATCTAAAATATAATTAGGATAATTACGGAGTTTTAACAAAATATTTAATAATTATATTTATTATTTTTTTTAAATTATATTATTAAACCAAAAATAAAAAAAATGAATTAAAAAATACATAAATAAATAAGAAATTTTAAATAGTTAGTTCGATAATAATATCAATATTTATTTTTTCAATTTTTATGATATTTTCATATTTATATTTTATTCAAAAATAAAAAACATTATCGCTTTCTTAAAACCACGTAAAACCGTATTATAACATCGACCGAGACAAAAAAACCCATTAAAATAAAGATATATCATGTTGCATTGTTTGAGTACCCTTCTAGTAAATATTTAAGGGCCAATGGTTTTATAAATATTTAGGGTGCATTTGATACACTGAACATGATATGACAGAACAAAACATAGATTTTTGTTTCACGTTTGGCATGACTTTTTTGTGAAACATACAGAAACAAAGTAGAGCATGCCTCTTCCACCCCCTACTCCATGGAACATGATGAAAAAGACTTGTATTTTACTAATATAACCTTAGAATAAAACTTAATTCTTTTATAAAACATCAAATACGTCTCTTTTCTTACATTTTATTCATTATTTAAATTTTATTTATCGTATTTTATGCTTTTTAAAATTTTATTTTATTGTCCTTAAAATATTATTTTTATACGGTTTCTATATTTTTATTAATTTATATAATGCATTATGTTAACAATAAAAGATAATATAGAG